AAAAACCACACGGTCTACCAGATGGTCAAAATGCCTTGTGTTAACTCGCCAAAGCGAAGTTGCCGAAAAAGAAGAAAATAGGACAGTCAGAAGGATAGCAATGTATGTAGTGTGTTAAGTGTGTGGGCCAGTGTTCTTGTATGGGTGAGGGGAGGATGGGGAAGGATGGGGGGATGGGGATGAGAGGGGTGAACAAGCAAGCAAGTCACCGCCTTACCCTCTTGATGGGATGGGGCTCGAAGTGACTGCAAGCAAGTCTCCTCTCAGCTCTGGTGAAGAACTACTCAGGATAACCCAAGTAAATTCTCGAGCAACAGTGTTCAGAGTTGCTCAGCTGAAGAGCAGGAACGACGACGTCTTCTCTCCACGGTGGCTGGGCTGCAACTCAAGTCATTTGTCGAATTTGTCTGTCGAATTTGTCGAATTTGTCACCAAAGACTTAGTCACAACCTCGGATGTAGCAGATCCAACACCACCATCAACTAGTGACGTCACTCCAACAACGTCCAATGAGAAGCCTTCACCGCCACCACTCCTCATTGAAACCGACCAATCAGAACCCTTGTCACCAGAAACATCTTCCTATTCGTCTACTGAAGATGACAACGAATATTCACTTCCTATGAATACCAAACCTCTATGAACTGACCAATCAACGATGAGCTCCTTCCATGTCGCCTGCAGCCGCCTATCATCATTCAAGTTGCAGTAATCATCCATCCAGCAAGACGCAGCCAGCACCTGCTGAGTTCCTGTTGCCTTCTACATCGTCTTCGTCAGTGTTTCTGAAATACATCTCCATCTACGCCTCCAGTACTTCGGTACCACATGTCCCAAAGTGGTTGGGCCACTTGCCTTGATTCCTCCTCTTCCCCTCCTTCCCATCCTTTTCCAGTTATTTCCATCCTTCCTTATCCTTCTTCCTTCCCATCTTACGACAGCTCTCGTCGTCCTCGATTCGATTCGAGCGTCATTGGGTAGCTTTAATTAAACGGACGAGTGTGTGAGTTTGACCTGCCTAGCATGGGCCAGTAGGCCTTCTGCAGTAAGCCATCGATCTTGTTTGTATCTTAATATTTTTATTCTGTATGTCTTAAGTTTATGGTACATGCTTTAAGATACTTAATGTTGATCAGTAAACAGTACAAGTGTTTCCTGAGGCGGGTCTTAGCCATATGATAACTCGCAGCTGGAGCTTTTAGTCATATGACCGAGGCCTTCCACTGGCTTACCCATCCACCCCTTTAAAATTTATGGTTATGATTGTATCTTTGTACGTAATGGTGCATATTTTATTGTTTGTGTATATGTATTATCACTCTGTATTTATATCTACCTCTAACAGTTTACAAGGTGTCTGCGAGGCAGGTGCTCCAGGACGTTGTGGAAGTCACCTGGACGTACAGCATCTCAGGCACCTACCACCTGGTCTTCACCTCATCCTCATCACCTGAGCTGCAAGTCACCGTGGCTTGCACCAACCCTCAGAACAACGAGAGCTGCCAGGGGCACTTGATCAGAGTGGGCATGGAAGAGAAAGTCTCCATCAGCGTCAGTAAACAAATGACAGAGAACAACATTGTGGTGACCAACAACATCTCTGGTACGTCGGACTGTGTACACAGGCGTACATTATGTACAGGTCTTATGGGAAAATGTACACTGAATGCAGGTTAAATATTTACGTATGGAGCTATCTTAGGGATGCGATTATAACAGTACACTGGTCAGTAGCGGCCGATAGCAGCCTACCACTTGCGAAGTCAGTGGTGTGAGTGAATATTTTTCCTCTGTACTCTGATGGGTGAGCTTCGCCCCTCCATGTTACACAGATTCTTTATCGTTAATTAAAAGTACACAAGTGCAACTAATGTGAGATTTTACTGTGGCAACGTTTCGTTCTCCAGGAGCTTTGTCAAGCTGTTACAAACAATAGATAGATTGAGTTAGAGAGGGACCTGTTGATATCATGTTACAGCTGTAACATGATATCAACATCGTGTTACAGCTGTAACATGATGTTGATATCATGTTACAGCTGTAACATGATATCAACAGGTCCTTCTCTAACCCAATAGATAGATTCTTTATTCTCGAAACGTTTCGCTCAGTGTTGACTGATAACCTGATAAAACTCAACAACGAGAGAGAGAAGAATCAGACACATGTGCAACATGTGCAACATGTGCAACTCTATCAGTGACGCATATGCAACTGTATCAATACAATACAAGGATATAATGTCCTTGTATTGATAAAGCCACTGGTTGGCGAAACGTCTACAAATAAAGATACCATTCGTGTACAACTGAGAGAAAGAGAGAGAGAGAGAGAGAGAGAGAGGGGAGAGAGAGAGAGAGAGAGAGAGAGAGAGAGAGAGAGAGAGAGAGAGAGAGAGAGAGAGAGAGAGCGAGAGAGAGAGAAAGAGAGAGAGAGAGAGAGAGACGTCGACACAAGGAAGTTTTACTCTGTCTCTCTTCCTATTCCTGCCGGTAACACTTTCCAGTCAACCCCCCCCCCCCCCGGCATCATAATGGTGCCTCCATGAAAATAATATACAATTTTCTCAAAACTAATTGCAGGTGTTCTTGCACCGGAGGGTCAGGTGAATAAAGTGACTCGTATGGTCGACTCTTCGGGTACCCGCGTCAGCATAGCGACAACCGAGGCACCCATTATCCAGGTGACACTGGTCAAGTTCTGGGAGGATACCGCAAACTCTAGTAGCCTCACTGCGGGATACTTCGTAGGGGAAGTCAAGGAGACGGCCGAAGGATACTTGTTTAAGTTCACGGATGACATCCTTAAGCAGGAAAAGAGTGTTGACTTGCTGTGTCTGGGATACAAGGATGATGGTTCCATAGGCGTGGCTGCTGCCGTCTACCTCACACTCACAGGTGACTTCCCACACCACATACACTTGTACTCACCTATTTGTGGTTGCAGGGGTCGATTCATAGCTCCTGGCTCCGCCTCTTCATTGGATGCTTCCAGGGATGCGTATATTAGCGTATATACTCTGAGTTGTGTATACCTTCAATGCACATACACTTATCAGATATTCTTTCAAGTATACAGAAGTAAGATTAGGGACAAGATAGGCCCACTCATAAATTACTCGGCTCAGCTCACCAACAGTGATAACGAACTGTGTAGAATTTTTAACACTTCCTCTCAGTTTTTACTGGATAGTGGCATGGTTGACAAATAGGCAGAAGAGAGTTTGCATAAATGGGGAGAAATCAGATTGGGGAAGTGTCACGAGCAGTGTTCCACAGGAGTCAGTGTTGGGCCCCTTGTTGTTCACAATCTACATAAACGAATAGATGAGGGAATAAATAGCAATATAAGCAAGTTTGCCGATGACACCAAAATATGCCAACGAATTTATTCTGACGAAAACATGAGAGCACTCCAGGAAGATTTGAATAGACTGATGCAATGATCAGAGAAGTGGCAGATGCAGTTTAATATTGCCAAATGCAAAGTTCTAAACATTGGACAGGAAAATAACCATGCCACATATAAACTAAATAATGTAGATCTTAATATTAATGTTTGTGAAAAGGAATTGGGAGTTCTGGTTAGCAGTAATCTAAAACTAAGACAACAGTGCATTAGTGTTCGCAATAAAGCTAACAGAATTCTTGGCTTCATATCTAGAAGTATAAATAATAGGAGTCCTCAAGTTGTTCTTCAACTCTATACATCCTTGGTTAGGCCTCATTTAGATTATACTGCACAGTTTTGGTCACCGTATTACAGAATGGATATAAATGCTCTGGAAAAAGTACAGAGGAGGATGACAAAGTTGATCCCATGTATCAGAAATTTTCCCTATGAGGATAGACTGAGGACCTGAATCTGCACTCTCTAGAAAGACGTAGAATTAGGGGGGATATGACTGAGGTGTATAAATGGAAGACAGGAATAAATAATGGGAATGTAAATAGTGTGCTAAAAATATGTAGCCTAGACAGGACTCGCAGCAATGGCTTTAAGTTGGAAAAAATCAGATTCAGGAAGGATATAGGAAAGCACTGGTTTGGTAATATAGTTGTGGAAAGAAGCTAAGACGTTGTGTAGTTTTAAAAAAAGATTAGATAAATACATGAGTGGGTGTGGGTGGGTGTGAGTTGGACCTGACTAGCTTGTGCTGATGGGTCTGATGCCGCGCTCCTTCCTTAAGTGAATGTAACCTGGCCTGACTAGGTTGGGGGCATTGGATTAAGCCGGTAGGAGACTTGGACCTGCCTCGCATGGGCCAGTAGGCCTGCTGCAGTGTTCCTTCTTTCTTATGTTCATATGATCTTACATAAACTTCATGATTTTAGCTTTGAATTTAAAATTCTTAAAAAAAAAATTAAACTGACTTTTTATAAAAAAAAAAATAACGTTAGGAAGTTCTGAAAACTTAAAATTGCAAAACAAATTATGGAAATGTTTTTTCCAATAGTCCATGGGACAAATTCCTGAAAATTTACACAAGATATATAATGTGAGGTGTTGTTGTCTCAGCACTGGCTTGGTAACAGTGTTGTCTCAGCACTGGCTTGGTAACAGTGTTGTCTCAGCACTGGCTTGGTAACAGTGTTGTCTCAGCACTGGCTTGGTAACAGTGTTGTCTCAGCACTGGCTTGGTAACAGTGTTGTCTCAGCACTGGCTTGGTAACAGTGTTCTCTCAGCACTGGCTTGGTAACAGTGTTGTCTCAGCACTGGCTTGGTAACAGTGTTGTCTCAGCACTGGCTTGGTAACAGTGTTTGTCTCAGCACTGGCTTGGTAACAGTGTTCTCTCAGCACTGGCTTGGTAACAGTGTTGTCTCAGCACTGGCTTGGTAACAGTGTTGTCTCAGCACTGGCTTGGTAACAGTGTTGTCTCAGCACTGGCTTGGTAACAGTGTTCTCTCAGCACTGGCTTGGTAACAGTGTTGTCTCAGCACTGGCTTGGTAACAGTGTTGTCTCAGCACTGGCTTGGTAACAGTGTTGTCTCAGCACTGGCTTGGTAACAGTGTTGTCTCAGCACTGGCTTGGTAACAGTGTTGTCTCAGCACTGGCTTGGTAACAGTGTTGTCTCAGCACTGGCTTGGTAACAGTGTTGTCTCAGCACTGGCTTGGTAACAGTGTTCTCTCAGCACTGGCTTGGTAACAGTGTTGTCTCAGCACTGGCTTGGTAACAGTGTTGTCTCAGCACTGGCTTGGTAACAGTGTTGTCTCAGCACTGGCTTGGTAACAGTGTTCTCTCAGCACTGGCTTGGTAACAGTGTTGTCTCAGCACTGGCTTGGTAACAGTGTTGTCTCAGCACTGGCTTGGTAACAGTGTTGTCTCAGCACTGGCTTGGTAACAGTGTTGTCTCAGCACTGGCTTGGTAACAGTGTTGTCTCAGCACTGGCTTGGTAACAGTGTTGTCTCAGCACTGGCTTGGTAACAGTGTTGTCTCAGCACTGGCTTGGTAACAGTGTTCTCTCAGCACTGGCTTGGTAACAGTGTTGTCTCAGCACTGGCTTGGTAACAGTGTTGTCTCAGCACTGGCTTGGTAACAGTGTTGTCTCAGCACTGGCTTGGTAACAGTGTTCTCTCAGCACTGGCTTGGTAACAGTGTTGTCTCAGCACTGGCTTGGTAACAGTGTTCTCTCAGCACTGGCTTGGTAACAGTGTTGTCTCAGCACTGGCTTGGTAACAGTGTTGTCTCAGCACTGGCTTGGTAACAGTGTTGTGGATGAATGAAAAAAAGTGCCGAGTAGCGTCACTGAAGCTAAAACCTTATGTAATTTAGAAAACACGTTAGATAAATGCACTAGTTGGTGTGAGTTAAACCTGCATTGCATGGGCCAGTAGGCTTGCTGCGGTGCTCCTTCTCTCTTATGTTCTTATAAGCTGTCAATTTACTTCACTCCCTGTTTTAGGTATTAAAATATTCTTGTCAGAGGGTGAAAAATAAGACACATGTACAACACTTGGGAATCTTGACTGAGGAAACGCTCAATTTGTCGCTTTTCAAAACCATTTTCATCACACTTATCAGACGGTGAAAAAAGTTATCGCCCATCTTTAATTTAGTGTTTCGATAGGATTTAAACCAATTAACCAAAATTTTACCTTATTTTTTTATTTATTTTTTTTTTGGCTAAGAAAAATACAGTGCAGGCGAGAGAGAATTACTAAACCTCATGGGAAAATTTTCTTGACGTTAATCTCGTTCAGAACTGAAGGAGAAGTTGACATGGGTGGGAGCTGAGAGCAGCAACTCTTCGGCATCTGTCCGTTCTGACACTCTCCTGCAGGAGGGCTCCATCAACGGCACCAGGGTGTGCCTGCAGGATGAGCCGCCCTGCTACTACCTGCAGGTAGGGGGAGAGGAGGCGTGGAAGGTGCTCAGGTGTGAGCAAGTGAATAATACTGCGCCAGGAGGTCCTGCTACAGTGTCTCAGTGTGACGACAACTTGGCTGCCTTCAAGGGTACGTTGTACATCCTCTTTAATCCCTCTTAATGTATTTTATTTCAGGAAGTGTTAGGAGTGGCAGAGGCTCGATCCTCCGTCCCCTAAAAGTGGCTAGGTCTCAGATCATCCAGGCTGTTGTTATAACTCTTGTAATATCGTGAAACAGAGGTAAAAAAGCCACAATTGCAGTGACTACAACTTCACATCTAACTCAAAAAATGAAACTACGTGTTGTTTTCACCTGCATGGACCTGTTCTGGACCAGTCATGGACCTGTTCTGGACCAGTCATGGACCTGTTCTGGACCAGTCATGGACCTGTTCTGGACCAGTCATGGACTGTTCTGACTCATCATGACCTGTTTGGACCAGTCATGGACCTGTTCTGGACCAGTCATGGACCTGTTCTGGACCAGTCATGGACCTGTTCTGGACTAGTCATGGACCTGTTCTGGACTAGTCATGGACCTGTTCTGGACTAGTCATGGACCTGTTCTGGACCAGTCATGGACCTGTTCTGGACCAGTCATGGACCTGTTCTGGATCAGTCATGGACCTGTTCTGGACTAGTCATGGACCTGTTCTGGACTAGTCATGGACCTGTCAGGACAGTCATGGACCTGTTCTGGACCAGTCATGGACCTGTTCTGGATCAGTCATGGACCTGTTCTGGACCAGTCAGACACCTGTTCTGGACCAGTCATGGACCTGTTCTGGACTAGTCATGGACCTGTTCTGGACCAGTCATGGACCTGTTCTGGACCAGTCATGGACCTGTTCTGGACCAGTCATGGACCTGTTCTGGACCAGTCATGGATCTGTTCTGGACCAGTCATGGACCTGTTCTGGACCAGTCATGGATCTGTTCTGGACCAGTCATGGACCTGTTCTGGACCAGTCATGGATCTGTTCTGGACCAGTCATGGACCTGTTCTGGACCAGTCATGGATCTGTTCTGGACCAGTCATGGACCTGTTCTGGACCAGTCATGGACCTGTTCTGGACTAGTCATGGACCTGTTCTGGACTAGTCATGGACCTGTTCTGGACTAGTCATGGACCTGTTCTGGACTAGTCATGGACCTGTTCTGGACTAGTCATGGACCTGTTCTGGACTAGTCATGGACCTGTTCTGGACTAGTCATGGACCTGTTCTGGACTAGTCATGGACCTGTTCTGGACCAGTCATGGACCTGTTCTGGACTAGTCATGGACCTGTTCTGGACTAGTCATGGACCTGTTCTGGACAGTCATGGACCTGTTCTGGACCAGTCATGGACCTGTTCTGGACCAGTCATGGACCTGTTCTGGACCAGTCATGGACCTGTTCTGGACCAGTCATGGACCTGTTCTGGACCAGTCATGGACCTGTTCTGGACTAGTCATGGACCTGTTCTGGACTAGTCATGGACCTGTTCTGGACCAGTCATGGACCTGTTCTGGACCAGTCATGGACCTGTTCTGGATCAGTCATGGACCTGTTCTGGACAGTCATGGACCTGTTCTGGACTAGTCATGGACCTGATCATGGACAGTCATGGACCTGTTCTGGACCAGTCATGGACCTGTTCTGGACAGTCATGGACCTGTTCTGGACCAGTCAGGACCTGTTCTGGACCAGTCATGGACCTGTTCTGGACTAGTCATGGACCTGTTCTGGACCAGTCATGGACCTGTTCTGGACCAGTCATGGACCTGTTCTGGACCAGTCATGGATCTGTTCTGGACCAGTCATGGACCTGTTCTGGACCAGTCATGGATCTGTTCTGGACCAGTCATGGACCTGTTCTGGACCAGTCATGGATCTGTTCTGGACCAGTCATGGACCTGTTCTGGACCAGTCATGGATCTGTTCTGGACCAGTCATGGACCTGTTCTGGACCAGTCATGGATCTGTTCTGGACCAGTCATGGACCTGTTCTGGACCAGTCATGGACTGTTCTGGACCAGTCATGGACCTGTTCTGGACTAGTCATGGACCTGTGTTCTGGACTAGTCATGGACCTGTTCTGGACTAGTCATGGACCTGTTCTGGACTAGTCATGGACCTGTTCTGGACTAGTCATGGACCTGTTCTGGACTAGTCATGGACCTGTTCTGGACTAGTCATGGACCTGTTCTGGACTAGTCATGGACCTGTTCTGGACAGTCATGGACCTGTTCTGGACTAGTCATGGACCTGTTCTGGACAGTCATGGACCTGTTCTGGACTCAGACCTTTCTGGACAGTCATGACCTGTTCTGGACTAGTCATGGACCTGTTCTGGACTAGTCATGGACCTGTTCTGGACTAGTCATGGACCTGTTCTGGACTATCATGGACTTTCGGACAGTCATGGACCTGTTCTGGACTAGTCATGGACCTGTTCTGGACTAGTCATGGACCTGTTCTGGACTAGTCATGGACCTGTTCTGGACTAGTCATGGAACTGTTCTGGACTAGTCATGGACCTGTTTTGGACTAGTCATGGACCTGTTCTGGACAAGTCATGGACCTGTTCTGGACTAGTCATGGACCTGTTCTGGACTAGTCATGGACCTGTTCTGGACCAGTCATGGACCTGTTCAGGACCAGTCATGGACCTGTTCTGGATCAGTCATGGACCTGTTCTGGACTAGTCATGGACCTGTTCTGGACTAGTCATGGACCTGATCAGGACCAGTCATGGACCTGTTCTGGACCAGTCATGGACCTGTTCTGGATCAGTCATGGACCTGTTCTGGACCAGTCAGACACCTGTTCTGGACCAGTCATGGACCTGTTCTGGACTAGTCATGGACCTGTTCTGGACCAGTCATGGATCTGTTCTGGACCAGTCATGGACCTGTTCTGGACCAGTCATGGATCTGTTCTGGACCAGTCATGGACCTGTTCTGGACCAGTCATGGACCTGTTCTGGACTAGTCATCGACCTGTTCTGGACTAGTCATGGACCTGTTCTGGACTAGTCATGGACCTGTTCTGGACTAGTCATGGACCTGTTCTGGACTAGTCATGGACCTGTTCTGGACTAGTCATGGACCTGTTCTGGACTAGTCATGGACCTGTTCTGGACTAGTCATGGACCTGTTCTGGACTAGTCATGGACCTGTTCTGGACCAGTCATGGACCTGTTCGGGACCAGTCATGGACCTGTTCTGGACCAGTCATGGACCTGTTCTGGACTAGTCATAGACCTGTTCTGGACTAGTCATGGACCTGTTCTGGACTAGTCATGGACCTGTTCTGGACTAGTCATGGACCTGTTCTGGACTAGTCATGGACCTGTTCTGGACTAGTCATGGATCTGTTCTGGACTAGTCATGGACCTGTTCTGGACTAGTCATGGACCTGTTCTGGACTAGTCATGGAACTGTTCTGGACTAGTCATGGACCTGTTTTGGACTAGTCATGGACCCGTTCTGGACTAGTCATGGACCTGTTCTGGACCAGTCATGGATCTGTTCTGGACCAGTCATGGACCAGTCATGGACCTGTTCTGGACCAGTCATGGACCTGTTTTTGACCAGTCATGGACCTGTTCTGGACCAGTCATGGACCTGTTCTGGACCAGTCATGGACCTGTTCTGGACCAGTCATGGACCTGTTCTGGACCAGTCATGGACCTGTTCTGGACCAGTCATGGACCTGTTCTGGACCAGTCATGGACCTGTTCTGGACCAGTCATGGACCTGTTCTGGACCAGTCATGGACCTGTTCTGGACCAGTCATGGACCTGTTCTGGACTAGTCATGGACCTGTTCTGGGCTAGTCATGGACCTGTTCTGGACTAGTCATGGACCTGTTCTGAACTAGTCATGGACCTGTTCTGGACAAGTCATAGACCTGTTCTGGACCAGTCATGGACCTGTTCTGGACTAGTCATGGACCTGATCTGGACTAGTCATGGACCTGTTCTGGACTAGTCATGGACCTGTTCTGGACTAGTCATGGACCTGTTCTGGACTAGTCATGGACCTGTTCTGGACTAGTCATGGACCTGTTCTGGACTAGTCATGGACCTGTTCTGGACTAGTCATGGACCTGTTCTGGACTAGTCATGGACCTGTTCTGGACCAGTCATGGACCTGTTCTGGACCAGTCATGGACCTGTTCTGGACCAGTCATGGACCTGTTCTGGACCAGTCATGGACCTGTTCTGGGCTAGTCATGGACCTGTTCTGGACCAGTCATGGACCTGTTCTGGACCAGTCATGGACCTGTTCTGGACCAGTCATGGACCTGTTCTGGACCAGTCATGGACCTGTTCTGGACCAGTCATGGACTTGTTCTGGACCAGTCATGGACCTGTTCTGGACCAGTCATGGACCTGTTCTGGACTAGTCATGGACCTGTTCTGGACCAGTCATGGACCTGTTCTGGACTAGTCATGGACCTGTTCTGGACCAGTCATGGACCTGTTCTGGACTAGTCATGGACCTGTTCTGGACTAGTCATGGACCTGTTCTGGACCAGTCATGGACCTGTTCTGGACTAGTCATGAACCTGTTCTGGACCAGCCATGGACCTGTTCTGGACTAGTCATGGACCCGTTCTGGACTAGTCATGGACTTGTTCTGGACCAGTCATGGACCTGTTCTGGACCAGTCATGGACCTGTTCTGGACCAGTCATGGACCTGTTCTGGACCAGTCATGGACCTGTTCTGGATCAGTCATGGACCTGTTCTGGATCAGTCATGGACCTGTTCTGAAACATAAACACTGGAGACGTCATAATGGGAATTATATGTAACTCTTAAGATAATTCACCAACCTCAGAGCTGCTGGTGTCATGTCCGTGAATGATGACAACACTGTGTGAGATGCTGGCTAACACTAACACCACTCAGCAGGGACTGGTTAACACACTAACACCACTCAGCAAGTACTGGTTAACACACTAACACCACTCAGCAGGGGCTGGCTAACTCACACTAACACCACTCAGCAGGGACTGGTCAGCATACTAACACCACTCAGCAAGCACTGATTAACACACTAACACCACTCAGCAGGGGCTGCTTAACATACTAACACCACTCAGCAAGCACTGCTTAACACACTAACACCACTCAGCAGGGGCTGGTTAACATACTAACACCACTCAGCAAGTACTGGTTAACACACTAACACCACTCAGCAGGGGCTGGTTAACATACTAACACCACTCAGCAAGTACTGGTTAACACACTAACACCACTCAGCAGGGACTGGTCAACATACTAACACCACTCAGCAAGCACTGGTTAACACACTAACACCACTCAGCAAGCACTGGTTAACACACTAACACCACTCAGCAGGGGCTGGTTAACACATTAACACCACTCAGCAAGTACTGGTTAACACACTAACACCACTCAGCAGGGACTGGCTAGCACACTAACACCACTCAGCAAGCACTGGTTAACACACTAACACCACTCAGCAGGGGCTGGTTAACACATTAACACCACTCAGCAAGTACTGGTTAACACACTAACACCACTCAGCAGGGACTGGCTAACACACTAACACCACTCAGCAGGGACTGGTTAACACACTAACACCACTCAGCAAGTACTGGTTAACACACTAACACCACTCAGCAGGGACTGGCTAACACACTAACACCACTCAGCAAGTACTGGTTAACACACTAATACCACTCAGCAAGTACTGGTTAACACACTAACACCACTCACCAAGTACTGGTTAACACACTAACACCACTCAGCAGGGACTGGTTAACACGCTAACACCACTCAGTAGGGACTGGTTAACACACTAACACCACTCAGTAGGGACTGATTAAAACACTAACACCACTCAGCAAGTACTGGTTAACACACTAACACCACTCAGCAGGGACTGGTTAACACACTAACACCACTCAGCAAGCACTGATTAACACTAACACCACTCAGCAGGGGCTGCTTAACATACTAACACCACTCAGCAAGCACTGGTTAACACACTAACACCACTCAGCAGGGGCTGGTTAACATACTAACACCACTCAGCAAGTACTGGTTAACACACTAACACCACTCAGCAGGGGCTGGTTAACATACTAACACCACTCAGCAAGTACTGGTTAACACACTAACACCACTCAGCAGGGACTGGTCAACATACTAACACCACTCAGCAAGCACTGGTTAACACACTAACACCACTCAGCAAGCACTGGTTAACACACTAACACCACTCAGCAGGGGCTGGTTAACACATTAACACCACTCAGCAAGTACTGGTTAACACACTAACACCACTCAGCAGGGACTGGCTAGCACACTAACACCACTCAGCAAGCACTGGTTAACACACTAACACCACTCAGCAGGGGCTGGTTAACACATTAACACCACTCAGCAAGTACTGGTTAACACACTAACACCACTTAGCAGGGACTGGCTAACACACTAACACCACTCAGCAGGGACTGGTTAACACACTAACACCACTCAGCAAGTACTGGTTAACACACTAACACCACTCAGCAGGGACTGGCTAACACACTAACACCACTCACCAAGTAATGGTTAACACACTAACACCACTTAGCAGGGACTGGTTAACACGCTAACACCACTCAGTAGGGACTGGTTAACACACTAACACCACTCAGTAGGGACTGATTAACACACTAACACCACTTAGCAAGTACTGGTTAACACACAAACACCACTCAGCAGGGACTGGTTAACACACTAACACCACTCAGCAAAGACTGGCTAACACACTAACACCACTCAGCAAGCACTGGTTAGCACACTAACACCACTCAGCAGGGACTGGTTAACACACTAACACCACTCAGCAGGGACTGTTTAACGCACTAACACCACTCAGCAAGTACTGGTTAACACACTAACACCACTCAGCAAGTACTGGTTAACACACTAACACCACTCAGCAGGGACTGGTTAACACACTAACACCACTCAGCAAGTACTGGTTAACACACTAACACCACTCACCAAGTACTGGTTAACACACTAACACCACTCAGCAGGGACTGGTTAACACGCTAACACCACTCAGTAGGGACTGGTTAACACACTAACACCACTCAGTAGGGACTGATTAACACACTAACACCACTCAGCAAGTACTGGTTAGCACACTAACACCACTCAGTAGGGACTGATTAACACACTAACACCACTCAGCAAGTACTGGTTAACACGCTAACCCCACTCAGTAGGGACTGGTTAACACACTAACACCACTCAGTAGGGACTGATTAACACACTAACACCACTCAGTAGGGACTGATTAACACACTAACACCACTCAGCAAGTACTGGTTAACACACTAACACCACTCAGCAGGGACTGGTTAACACACTAACACCTCTCAGCAGGGACTGTTTAACGCACTAACACCACTCAGCAAGTACTGGTTAACACACTAACACCACTCAGGAAGTACTGGTTAGCACACTAACACCACTCAGCAGGGACTGGTTAACACACTAACACCACTCAGCAGGGACTGGTTAACACACTAGCACTACTCAGCAGGGACTGTTTAACGCACTAACACCACTCAGCAGGGACTGGTTAGCACACTAACACCACTCAGCAGGGACGGGTTAACACACTAACACCACTCACCAAGTACTGGTTAACACACTAACACCACTCAGCAAGTACTGGTTAACACACTAACACCACTCGGCAGGGACTGGTTAACACACTAACACCACTCAGCAGGGACTGTTTAACACACTAACACCACTCAGCAGGGACTGGTTAACACACTAACACAACTCAGCAGGGACTGTTTAACACACTAACACCACTCAGCAGGGACTGGTTAACACACTAACACCACTCAGCAGGGACTGGTTAACACACTAACACCACTCAGCAAGTACTGGTTAACACATAACACCACTCAGCAAGTACCGGTTAACACAATAACACCACTCAGCAGGGACTGGTTAACACACTATCACCTGTACATTGCAGAGACATCTCAAGCACTAACAGTGTCCATGGTGGGTGGGTCGGTGGAAGTGACACTGTCTACCAGCACCACTGCCACCATAGAGGTGGTCGTCTACGACCCTGCCAACCCTGACAAGATCTACTCTAACACAGACCTGCCCTGCACCACCAACGATCAAGACAAGAGAAGATGTTTACAGTCTATGAAAGTAAGTTTTGTATCTGTCTTGTTTCTGACACTGTTGTTTACTGACTAGTGGCTACCACCCACGGTGTTCTGGCTGACTACCACCCACTGTGTGCTGGTGACTACCACCCACTGTGTACTGGCTGACTTCCACCCACGGTGTTCTGGTGACTACCACCCACTGTGTGCTGGTGACTACCACCCACTGTGTGCTGGTGACTACCACCCACGGTGTTCTGATGACTACCACCCACTGTGTGCTGGTGACTACCACCCACGGTGTACTGGCTGACTACCACCCACTGTGTGCTGGTGACTACCACCCACTGTGTACTGACTCACCACCACCCATGGTGTACTGGGTGACTACCACCCACTGCGTACTGGCTGACTACCACCCACTGTGTACTGGCAGACTACCACCCACTGTGTACTGGCTGACTGCCACCCATTGTGCACTGTTTGACTACCACCCACTGTATACTGGCTGACTACCGTCCACTGTGTACTGGCTGACTACCACCCATTGTGCACTGGCTGACTACCACCCACTGTGTACTAGCTAACTACCACCCACTGTGTACTGGCTGACTACCACCCACTGTGTACTGACTGACTACCACCCACTGGGTACTGGCTGAGTACCACACACTGTTAATTGGCTAACTACCACCCACTGTGTACTGGCAGACTACCACCCACTGTGTACTGGCTGACTACCACCCATTGTGTACTGGCTGACTACCACCCATTGTTCACTGGCCTGACTACCACCCGCTGTGTACTGGGTGACTACCACCCACTGTGTTCTGGCTCACTACTACCCAATGTATACTGGCTCACTACCAACCACTGTGTACTGGATCACTACCACCCACTGTTTTCTGGGTAACTACCACCCACGGTGTTCTGGGTGACTATCACCTACGGTATTCTAGATGACTACCACCCACGGTGTTCTGGGTGACTATCACCTACGGTATTCTAGATGACTACCACCCACGGTGTTCTGAGTGATTACCACCTACGGTATTCTAGATGACTACCACCCACGGTGTTCTGGGTGACTACCACCTACGGTATTCTAGATGACTACCACCCACGGTGTTCTGGGTGACTATCACCTACGGTATTCTAGATGACTACCACCCACGGTGTTCTGGGTGACTACCACCTACGGTATTCTAGATGACTACCACCCACGTGTTCTGGTAACTACCACCTACGGTATTCTAGATGACTACCACCCACGGTGTTCTGGGTGACTATCACCTACGGTATTCTAGATGACTACCACCCACGGTGTTCTGGGTGACTACCACCCACGGTGTTCTAGATGACTACCACCCACGGTGTTCTGAGTGATTACCACCTACGGTATTCTAGATGACTACCACCCACGGTGTTCTAGATGACTACCACCCACGGTGTTCTAGATGACTACCACCCACTGTCTTCTGGGTGACTACCACCCACCGTGTACTGGCTGACTACCACACACGGTGTTCTGCGTGACTACCATCCACTGTGTACTAGCTGACTACCACCCACTGTGAACTGGCTCACTACTACCCACTGTGTACTGGCTCACTACCACACAATGTGTACTGGCTCACTACCACCAACTGTGTTCTGGGTGACTACCACCCACTGTGTACTCGCTGACTACCATTCACTGTGTACTGACTGACTACCACCCACTGTATACTGGCTGACTACCACCCACTGTGTACTCGCTGACTACCATTCACTGTGTACTGACTGACTACCATTCACTGTGTACTGACTGACTACCACCCACTGTATACTGGCTGACTACCACCCACTGTGTACTCGCTGACTACCATTCACTGTGTACTGACTGACTACCACCCACTGTATACTGGCTGACTACCACCCACTGTGTACTCGCTGACTACCATTCACTGTGTACTGACTGACTACCATTCACTGTGTACTGACTGACTACCACCCACTGTATACTGGCTGACTACCACCCACTGTGTACTGGCTGACTACCACCCACTGTGTACTGGCTGACTACCACCCACTGTGTACTGGCTGACTACCACCCACGGTGTTCTGGCTGACTACCACCCACGGTGTTCTGGCTGACTACCACCCACGGTGTTATAGCTGACTACCACCCACTGTGTACTGGCTACCACCCACTGTGTATTGGCTGACTACCACCCACTTTGTACTGGCTGACTACCATCCACGGTGTTCTGGGTGACTACCACCCACTGCGTTCTGGGTGACTACCATCCACTGTGTAGTGGCTACCACCCACTGTGTACTGGCTGATTACCACCCACTGTGTACTGGCTGACTACCACCCATTGTGCACTGGCCTACCACCCACTGTGTACTGGGTGACTACCACCCACTGCGTACTGGCTCACTACTACCCATTGTGTACTAGCTCACTCCCACCCACTGTGTTCTGGGTGACTACCACCCACTGTGTACAGGCTCATTACAACCCAAGGTGTTTTGGGTGACCACGATCCAATGTGTACTGGCTGACTACCACCGACTGTGTAGTGGGTGACTACCACCCACTGTTCACTGGCTGACTACCACCCACTGTGTACTGGCTGACTACCACCCACTGTTCACTGGCTGACTACCACCCACTGTGTACTGGCTGACTACCACCCACTGTTCACTGGCTGACTACCACCCACTGCGTACTGGCTGACTACCACCCACTGTTCACTGGGTGACTACCACCCACTGTGTACTGGCTCAATAACACCCACTATGTACTATCTCACTACCACCCACAGTGTACTGTGTGACTACCATCCACGGTGTACTGTGTGACTACCATCCGCGGTGTACTGTGTGACTACTATCCACGGTGTACTGGGTGACTACCATCCGCGGTGTACTGTGTGACTACCATCCGCGGTGTACTGTGTGACTACTATCCACGGTGTACTGGGTGACTACCATCCGCGGTGTACTGTGTGACTACCATCCACGGTGTACTGGGTGACTACCATCCACGGTGTACTGTGTGACTACCATCCACGGTGTACTGGGTGACTACCATCCACGGTGTACTGGGTGACTACCATCCACGGTGTACTGGGTGACTACCATCCACGGTGTACTGTGTGACTACCATCCACGGTGTACTGGGTGACTACCATCCGCGGTGTACTGTGCATCCGCGGTGTACTGTGTGACTACCATCCACGGTGTACTGGGTGACTACCATCCGCGGTGTACTGTGTGACTACCATCCGCGGTGTACTGTGCATCCGCGGTGTACTGTGTGACTACCATCCACGGTGTACTGGGTGACTACCATCCGCGGTGTACTGTGTGACTACCATCCGCGGTGTACTGTGTGACTACCATCCGCGGTGTACAGGGTGACTACCATCCACGGTGTACTGGGTGACTACCATCCACGGTGTACTGTGTGACTACCATCCACGGTGTACTGGGTGACTACCATCCGCGGTGTACTGTGCATCCGCGGTGTACTGTTTGACTACCATCCACGGTGTACTGGGTGACTACCATCCGCGGTGTACTGTGTGACTACCATCCGCGGTGTACTGTGTGACTACCATCCGCGGTGTACAGGGTGACTACCATCCACGGTGTACTGTGTGACTACCATCAGCGGTGTACAGGGTGACTACCATCCACGGTGTACTGGGTGACTACCATCCACGGTGTACAGGGTGACTACCACCCACGGTGTACTGGGTGACTACCATCCACGGTGTACTGTGTGACTACCATCCGCGGTGTACTGGGAGACTACCATCCACGGTGTACTGGGTGACTATCACCAACGGTGTACTGGGTGACTACCATCCACGGTGTACAGGGTGACTACCATCCACGGTGTACAGGGTGACTACCATCCACGGTGTACTGGGTGACTACTATCCACGATGTACTGGCTGACTACCACCCACGGTGTACAGGGTGACTACCACCCACGGTGTACTTGGTGACTACTGTCCACGGTGCATTGAGTACCATCTACTGTGTACTGGGTGACTACCATCCACGGTGTACTGGGTGACTGCTATCCACAGTGTACAAGGTGACTACCACCCACGGTGTACTTGGTGACTACAATCCACGGTGTACTGGGTGACTACTGTCCACGGTGCACTGAGTACCATCTACTGTGTACTGGGTGACTACCATCCACGGTGAACTGGGTGACTGCTATCGAAGGTGTACTGGGTGACTAACACCCACGGAGTTCTGGGTGACTACCACCCACTGTGTACTGGCCGACTACCACCCACGTTGTTGTGGATGACTACCACCCACGGTGTACTGGGTGACTACCACCCATGATGTACTGCGTAACTACCATCCACGGTTTACTGGGTGACTACCATCCACGGTTTATTGAGTGACTCCCATCCCTGGTTCACTGGGTGACTACCATCCCCGGTGTACTGGGTGACTACCACCCACGGTGGACTGAGTGACTACCTCCCACGATGTACTGCCTAACTACCACCCACGGTTTACTGGGTGACTACAATCCACGGTTTACTGGGTGACTACCATCCCTGGTGTACTGGGTGGCTACCAACCACGGTGGAGTGGATGACTACCATCCACGGTGTACTGGATAGGTACCATCCACGGTGTACTGGGTGACTACCACCCACGGTGTAATGGGTGACTACCATCCACGGTGTACTGGGTGACTACCACCCACGGTGTACTGGGTGACTACCACCCACGGTGTACTGGATGACTGCTATCCACGGTGTACTGGGTGACTACCATCCACGGTGTACTGGGTGACTACCACCCACGATGTACTGTGTGACTACAGTCCACGGTGTGCTGGGTGACTACCACCTACAGTGTACTGGGTGAATACCGTCCACGGTGGAGTGGGTGAGTACCATCCACGTTGTACTGGGTGACTACCACCCACTGTGTACTGGGTGACTACTATCCAATGTGTACTGGGTGAATACCATCCACTGTTGTGTGGGCGACTACCACCCACGGTGTACTGGT